CAACCCCCCCGGGCATACCCCTCACGACCTCGCGTGTATCTTGCGCGCGGAAAACCTTTTATCCCGAGAAATTACCGTGAATGTCGGGTGAAAATCATCGTTCCGCCGTCGGAAAGAACCGAGGCTTCCATTTTCTTTCCGAAGCAGAGGAAACGACGCAGTCGTTTCTTCATCGCTCGCGCGTAAAACACGCGACTCGCTTGCGTGTCGAGGCCGCAACAGTCGTTGGCCCCGGCTGGTCCCATTCGTTGCCCGTTTAGAAAATGTCTGCACGTACGCGATGGCTTCACGGGGATGAGACAGAACGAAGGGAACTGGAGAAGGAAACATTCCGCGAGGAAATTCCGTCCTGTTCCGGGGAAATTCGTTCGATTCACCCCCCCCCACTCGGCCTCTGTTGTTCGCCGCGAGACGTCGTCTATGTTTCTTCTTCGGTTAAATTGCTACGTATCCTTTATTCGATTTGTGCGGCTTCAACCCTTCGCGGATCTTCTTTCTCTTTCTCTTAGTTTCTCGCGCGATCCGCGAGACGGTTGTACACGGGGCTAGAATTTACAGGAGAATTCCCGACACGCTATCGGATTAATAGGAAATGGAGATCGCGTGGTTGACGGTTTACCTAGCCCGTTTAAAGAGCCGTTTTATCCGGGATGCTTTCAGGTTGACCTAAGCAGAAAATGGCAGTTCTTCGACGAAACCGCCAAAGGGAAAGCTTTTCCTCGCGATGCTGGTAAATTGCGTTCAGAAATGTTTCACGTGCCCGTGAGTCGTCGCGAGCTTCCTCTTTTCCTTTGACACGGACATCCTTCTCCGTGTTCCTGTATGAGAGGAGGGAACTGAAGGCTAGTCCGCAGATTTCGACAGTTGCGCAGGAAGGTATACTATTGCTGCAGGGGCAATCCGTATGACAAACAACCGTCTCTGTTACGTTGTTATTTGTCATGTCTGGAGCAGGATACACAATCTTGCTAGTCCGTATTATATTACATATGGATGCATTAAACCCTGGTCCGATACATGCCAGACCTGTTCCACTTATATTACAGAGACATTTATTCGAAGAGTTTATGCACTTCTCATTTTTATCTGGTTATGCAACAGAGTAAATTATGTGAATTTCTATTTAACTTTTTGATGCTCTGACTGCTTCATTAGTCTTGAATGTACCCTCGATGTTTTATATACACTACTGCTTATAACTATTAGGACAGCTAATCTGTATGAGAAAAACCTAATGTTATATAAAAATTATATAATTGGAGCCATTATTTTCTTACTTCATAGGAGCATAGACGTTGTCCACCGAGTTTCAATCGAAAACCGTGCTAGTGATTACGAAAGTGGTATAAATTTCGAAAATTCTTCCACAGTATTGAAATACAAATCTACCTGCAGACATTATAAACTTTAGGTCATTATTTTGTTACTTTATAGTAGCATAGACGTTGTCCACCGAGTTTCAAACGAAAACCGTGCTAGTGAATATTCCTCCACAGTATTGAAATATAAATCTACCATAAAGTTGAAGAACTCAACTTACACTATTCTAATAATCACCAACACGAATATTCTGTCCCCGAGGCATCACCTGGTGACAATTTCTTAAGATTTCCTCCATACCGTCGAGGTGCCCGTTATTTCGATCACGAGTCTCGGCCGTGTTTTAAGTCAGACATGTCCCGTGAATTTATTCACCGCGTGACAAGTCGACGGGTGCGGGGGTGAGTCTTCGAGTATAAATTTCTCGTACGTTTCCCTTTATCGTCGCCAGCGCGCGCGCGCGCCCCGGCCGTTTTCCTCGTGACCTGGGCTAACCCCGGTTATCGTTTCGCGCCTTTTATATCCATGGCGGGGTAGCTTCGCCCGGGGAAAATTAAATATCTCACGGGTCTTTACGGTCCGCTACACGAGCTTCTCTAGGTCTCCTTCTTTCTCCTCCTCTATTCGTAAGTTACCCACGGGCATCTTACAGTTTCGAACTCGGCTCCTCCTCGCGGCCGTTGTCGAGATTACGCCTGGAAAACGAGGATGTTACGAAAGGGCCGACGTGTTATCGCGGAATTTCGCCTCTATTAAAGTACAACGAGGCGAGAAATCTGCAAATAAAAGGACCGCTGGCGGTGAAGCCACCGCCGCGTACACACCCTCCCAACCCTGGAACATTCTTCTAGCGGTCTGCACGCCAGCATTTTAATTACAGAAATATTTTCCGACAGAGCGGCTAGGATATAAAAGCCGACCCCCTAGTAAACAGGGACATTGTTCGGGCTCTATGGATAATGTAATATGAGCCATGGCTGCATGAAGCTTTCCTTTCATCATTTCTTCTACTGTGGAATTTCACGTTACTATTTCGACGCGTATCCTTACCGTAGAATTCTCCAAATTTAACCCTCTAATGGTAAGGTCCGGGTCGTATACGACCCAGGTTATAGTTCTTCTCGTAGTCTGCACTCCATTTCTTATTATTTTTGTTTATAATATTATGTATTATTTACTAAATACTTATAATTAATATTACAAGTATGTACAAAATAATACAAATATTTAAAACATATATATTATATAGCACAATTATTATCCCCTATTATATGAATAAACAAACATACAAGTTTAAGATAATAAGTTTTAGTATCTATCTGAAAATAGGAAAAAATAAGTCGGGTGGAATCCAACCCCACCTTAGCAAGTACTAGCTTAAAATCCACCTTACCATTCGAGGGTTAACGAAACACGATAGCGATAAAGTTCATGAATTATTTCGATAGGATCTGATAGTATGCTTCTGATGTTAGACGTTCGTTTAGGTGTACAAGTAATTGAACCGCTGAAACGTGGGGAGGACAGGCACCGTCGAAGCACAATGTTCAATTAATGCCCGTGCTCGAAAAGACGGCTGTTAAACGAGACGACGACGGTACCCTTATCAGACGCATAACGTCGAAAACTTGCAGAGATCCACGGTTTCGACGCGTTACCCCTCTGAAGGATAGCCTACCCTCTCGTACGACCACTGTCTCCCTCTGTCCCTCTTTTCGCTGTCTGGCTCGCGGAAGGATGCAGTCGGGAATAATGAACGAGGGTGAGAAGATCTTCTTCCCGGTGAACATACGTTTAAACGATCCCCATCGCTGGGGGTTGGAAGTGCCAGGCGCCCGTAAACGCGAGGGTTGAAATACAGGGATGGGGGTGTGAGATCTGTAAGGGTGACTTTTGGCGTAAAAGCAGACTGCCCGTACTTCTGTAATTATTCAACCGGCACGGAGACACTTGACGATCACCGTAAATGTCGATGATCAAAACGAGTGAGGGTGGGTTTCGAATACTTTCCTGGTGGAGTCGGTCTATTAAATTTTGTTGAACGTCTGTCTCGATTCAGCGTGATCATCGTAAGATAGAAGCTGACCCTTTCATTCCCAAATTATTTAAAAATTATTAATGACATATTTTGTTGCATATTTTCTGGATACTGCATGACACGTAAATAATTTACTCTTACTACGTATATAATTATTCAATTTTTCTTACTTTTGATCAATAAACCCTCTTGCAATATTTGAGAGGAATCAGAGTTTTGTAACTTTTTATTGTATTCGTAGCAATGCTTTGGATACACATTCAAATTTGTGCCATGTCATTTATACAAGATCAGAAGAAACCGTAATGTCCTCGCAGATATGAAAAATGACACGATACTAAGATTTTATTTCCTAATTTAGAATAAACGTAGCCATGTGGCAACATTGGGAACGAAAGGGTTATGTCGTGAATAATTTTCGGCATTCTTAATTTTTCTAAGTGAGTCCCTTATGAAACGATAATTATATTTTAATGTTTATTCATTGAATATAAGTTCAGTGCTTCATTTTGTGTCGACGTTCTAATTTTTATAGTTTCGACGATTATACGCTCGTGCTTTGTGCAATACTGCTCGAGACACTAACAAACGCGACGTCACGTGATTTAACGACTCGTGTCTACGGTTTGATGTATAATGACGTTTGCGTTGCCGCAATTTCACCGGCGCCAGGATACACCGAAAATTCGATACGCGTCGAGCCGCGATTCGATTATTAGATCGGCACAGGTGCGCCGATAGATCAATGGGAATGTTATTATACGACTGTTAACGGATTTGACAGATGTATATTCCCGTCAAACATTGTTCCGATGCCGGTTCCAGGAATACCTGTGTAACTAGGCACCGTTGCACGGTCGAATAATCGTGAAATTATACGTGAAACGTTTCGAACTGTTGCAATCAGTTTCTTTTTTTAATAAAAGAATTATTTCTGCGATCGTACTGGATCTTTTAAAAATAATTGCGAACGTGGTCAATTCGTAGCTGAGTGAGATTTTCGAGTGTCCGATCTGCTTACTTTATTACAAATAGAACGTATCGAAAGGAACTTCGATACAGTTCTCTTTCTTCGAGTGATTATCTACTGAAGAAATGGTACAGGCGGTAATAATTAATTTAGACAAGTTGATTGTTTCGTAGTAATTTAATACATTTCATTATTAATATACTAATCTATATAATACATGTGACAATTTAATATATTATCAATGAATATTAAAACAACCAGAAAGTATGTATGGACGTGGAACTGTCACAAACAATGGCTTTGTACTGACGTACGCGTGTCCGTTCTATACGCTCGAGAGGTTAAGTATAGAGATTTTAAATTGCACAATCTTTTCCAACGATTTTGATTCCAACAGTTCACTTCCTCTTCGTTGTACATAGTATGAACACCATGGATCCTTCGTGATAATAACTTTTCGTTCGAAACCAAAAGCGCCACCAGTCTGTTAGCCGTTGAAACTTCGTTAACTTCGCTCAAGAACAGAAACGAGGGAGAACACTGACGAGCAGATGAAAAGAAACTTTCACCGCAACATGAGAGAGTTTTCCGTAAACGTCTACCGATGAAACGTCCCAGAATTCCCCGTTGAAATATCCGTACGATGCTGAACGGCGGCCATTTTGATTTCAGGTGTCCTGGATACGTAAAAGGGATTTACACATACTCACCTCCTCCGTCCACGTGTACACGGGGGACGACAGATTCGACGTGGAGCACCCGAAGGCATCCGACGAATGGACGTTGAAGATCCGTTTCGTCCAGCAACGTGACGCAGGGGTTTACGAATGCCAGGTTAACACCGAGCCCAAAATGAATTTAGCCTTCGTGTTGAGAGTCGAAGGTAAAAGCTTTTCCACCGTGTGAAATCGTTATCATAGCGGTTAACCCTTTCAGCGATTAAAATTCCTCGATAATCGATCCATCCTCCGAAGCTTCGTACGAAATCATGTTTTTGAAACTGATCGAACAACCTTTCGAAAGCTGTCATTGGTTCGACGAACGTTTTCAAAGCCATCTACGATGGGAAAATGATCGCGAAAGGGTTGGCCATGTTAAAAAAAACCTCAGCGCCGCATTGTATATACCTTGCGTGTATGGAGATAGATGAGAAAGACATTCCAAAAACCGCTTTCTGTTACGTGTCTACCGCCTGTGATCGATCAGGAAAAGACACACACTCTTCCCTCCGGTAAAACACATCTTGACTGACGCACCAGCATGAGAAACAAGGACTGACGCTTTTCCGCCTTGCATGCCTGTCTCCGTGAAACGTACAATCTTTCTCCGTGTACCGGTGTCTTCCTTTCTCACAACGACACGTTACAATTCCGTTATCGAACGCGCGGATGTTGTGCGATCGTTTCAACGATGCGCTTGGTTGTTCGTTTTTGTTGCTCGTGTACTTCTATCGCGCTGATTAATTCGCTTAATTGATTGTCTCGTTGACACTTCTCGGGTTACAGGCGCGACGACGGTGTTTCGATGTCAATTAAAACTCCTCGTGAATCATCCGAGTGTCGTAACTGCTTGCATATTAACACGTTGACTGCCACAGTGAAAATGATCGTACGTAGCCAGACACACTTTATTTCATCTTTTAAGGGGTAGCGCCACGATAATAGGCAAGAGATGATAGGATTACTTTGTAGGTGATTTTGAAGATGTTTATGAACTATATTGAAAATGTAACATAAGGTCCTTATGATGTGTGTGAAAAAGAATAGAAAAAGCTTGTTTATATTTTCCATTTGAGTCATTCTGAGGTGAGATGAACCTAGAACAAAAAAAAAAATTTTTTTTCGTCCCCTTTGATTCATATCATAAGAACCTTATGTTACATTTCTAATAACATTCGTACATTTCTTTAAAATTTCCTTTAAAGTTATCCTATAATTTCTAGCTTATCAACCTGAGGTTATCCTTTAGGTAATAAATCGTCGAGAATATATGGGTTCAGTTAATAGACGTTGGTCATGTTTTAATTTATACTGCGATATTAATATGACGCAAAAATTTTGTAATATTATTTAAATAATTCAGGCTCTTTGCAATGTATGTGTCTAATATTTGGATGACGTGGCAGTCAAAGTTTGGATCACGATCGAGTCGTCGTAACAGAAAAGGAATCAACGAAGCACGCTACTGATTTTCGCGTCGATTCTACCGCTGTTTCAAATCGTTCCTCCGATCGTTCGCCGCTCGATCGACGTGCGTTTCTCCCCGCCAATAATCCCGCGTAATTGCGAATTTTCCATGGGATTGTAACTTCGTTTCTTTTACCGAGTGTTCCGGCAACGCTAACGAGCGGCTATTATTCATCGGTGCAAATATTTATCGGTACCTAACGATTGCGCGCGCGTGTTATCGTTATTAATCGCGGAGCGACCAGGGTGGCGGAGTAAACTGGTAACGAATAACAATGGAAAACGGTTCTCCGGCGTGCTTCTATCGCAAATAACCGACGTGGTAATGGTAAATGCGGCCCGTACCGTGGGTATTTCGGTAATTTAATAATGAATCCTATCGTTTCGCGTGGATCGGAACGCGCACGACGGTGTTCCCACGAAATTTCCATGATATTTCAATGAATTTTCATTTTTCTTACCGAACCAACCAAGAACCAACGGGGAATAATTCGTCCGAGATGTGTGCGTTTAGTAGCTTCTTCGCGAGTCGAACACAGTTATATTTCGCGAATCCCAAACGCACGAACCGCCCACACATGGTATGTTCATTAATTATGTTCGTTGCCTCTGCGTGTACCTGTCCCGATCACGAACGCCTGGCTAACACTAATTGCTCGTCAGTTGGCCGGAATCGATATTTTTTTCCGAACGGTGAAAATCAGAGAAGCGGACGATACAGTCGTTCAATTGCGGTTTAATTAAATCTTTCACGAGGGCGGAATAATTGCGTGAAACGCGGTAACAATGTGTTTATAATTTATTTCTGGCCCTCTTCGAACGAGAACGCGAATTTAAATGCAATTCCCGGTGCATTGGGATTCTATATCGCGGGATAAATGCGGTGAATAAATGACGGAATTATGCTCGATGGTTGCCCGGAGCAGCTGTAAGTAGTTTGTGAAGAGGGTGGGAGGTGAATTGATATTCGTACGGAACAGTAATGGCGGAATTGTTGTGAATTCGAGGATCCAGAAATGCCCGTGGGTTTAGTTGTAGTAATATCAGTGTATACAGGGTGGTGCAACCGGACACCAGATTATTCTGCATGAAGAAATAATTCGAAAATGTGGAATGAAATTCTTCCGTACGATGCTTCGTTTTCGAGATAATCGAATTCCTGATAATAAGTAGAAACGGATTGTAATGATCAGACACGAGTTAGCCGAGTCGTATTCAATCGCGCAGATATTTGATTTCGGTTATCTGGAAATAAAGTATTATATGATAAAATTTTCTTCTAGATTTTCAACTTATACGACCTCCTGTCCGGTTGTACCGCCTGTTCTGCTATACAATCTATTGATTCTGAAGTACTCTCAGAGTCATTTGCTACAATGCTTCAAATCCCTTCGTTCAATCCAATATCAATCAAAACACTTGCTTACACCCTCGAACAATACTCCTGGCAATATATTCGGGTCTCGAATGAGAGATAAGCACGTATGGACGTCGGGACACAATCTTTTCTACGTGATCACCGCGATAGGAAGAACAGGGAGTATCGTAGAGGCGACGGACATCATGAACGACGAACCCTTGCAACGGATGGGGCCGCGTACGTACATATACACTGCGTGGGATAACTAAAAAACCATCCTAAAATTTTCAATTCTTATACATTGCGCTTAAAATAAAACCAAAAGAACAATAAATCTTTGATGAGTGTTCGATGGCTCCCTCGGCACTGAACATTAAATATTTCATAAACTAATAGCCCCATGCCACTGAAACAAATATCATTATCTTCAGAATTCCAAGCTCTATCACTGTGATAAACCTCATTAGTCAGTCAATGCCAAATAGCCTTCTAAAACTCATCGAGGATTAACTGTATGCCATGTCTCAAATCGTATTGACAAATAATGTTTCTCCAGAATAGGATACATTATATATCGTAGAAAAATAAGTAGTTATTTTTTATTTCAACCAAGAATACATAAGGATTAAAAACTGTAGGGTGGTTTTATAATTATGCCACGCAGTCTGCATCCAGCGCACGTAGCCTCGTATCGCGATGCATTTCAGTGGAACCCCACCCTTGGACAGGAAACAGTAGATCTCACGACGAAATCGATTAACTCGATATCTTTTCTGTCCTCCCGTTCCAGAAAGTGCCCCTGTCCCCGTCACCACCACACCGAACGCCATTCACCGGACGTTCAACTCAGGTTAGAATCACGCAAGAACAGATTCCTTTTCCATGCTGCTGTTCTCAGGCTTGCCTGCTAGACATGTTCTCTATATCGGCGGCTCGTGACACGCGTGTAGAGGCCTGGCCAGGCATGTCTATGTGCGAAACGCGCTCAGCCCCAACCCGTGCTCTATCAGTGCATGCACGTCCTGCAACGTTTAGCGTTAATTAATGCAACCCATACATTCACCACCGTTCCCTCCTGATGGTTTTGTTTTACGAGGGGGGGCTGGTCGAGCTGACATTAGGCGGGCGGGAAGGTCTGTTTCGCTGATCGTCACATCGCTCTAGTTGTTAACCGAACACAGTCGTGGCGTCCTCTAATTACCACCGAATTATCATCGTTCACGATAACCATCGCGGGTTAAAAGTCCACGTCGAGCTGGCGGGGAGATAGCTCGATCCGCCCCCTTTCTTGCTTAAACACATTTCGTCTAGACTGTGTGTGTGTGTAACGCTTGGCTCGATGGCGGCCTCAACGTGCTAGAAGAATAAGAGACCTGAGTGTGTGGCATGGTATTTGGGAAAATTCAAAAAAGATCTTCGGTTTTGAGAAGTACAGTAAATTATGGATAAGTGTACGAAAGCTACTGGACAACTGAATGCACAGACGTAATTCCCACCACTGAACGTTCGACTGGTTTCACGGAGGACCTTCCAGTGATGGGGATGACGTCTAAATACAGTAAATCTTCGATTAACGCTCGGAACTAACTGCTTTTGAACAGTTATCACAGGTAGGACATGATTATTGTATATTGTGAAACAATAGTGGGGATGAAGCAGCAGTATTTAACGTAGAGGTCCTTCCGAGCAGTTGTCGAGAATTTACTGTACTCAGTGCCAAGGAGGCTCCCAGCACTGATCGATGATTTATTGTAAATTGTGAACCACGAACCTGAGTGGGTTGTTTGCGAGGTCATAGTTGGCATTTGGCATGAGCTCGATTCTATGTAAATATACACACATGAATAACAAAGGAATGGGGGGGTCGAAATGAGTCTGGCAGTCAGTACGGAATTAGGGTGGCGAGATTTTTTGCTGGAAGTGGACGGGTAGGCAGGACGAAACTAATTTACCCAATTTTACATTCCTGCCGCAATTAAAATATCTACGGTAACAACGCAACTTCGGGCCATGTGTCTTTCTATCTTTTTTCTCTGTCTACCTCTATCTCTCTTTCTCTAACCCCCGCCTGCCTGTTTTCGTCGACCCCGAACTTCGAAGTTCCATTAAAACTTGCGGGAAATTCGTTTCGAATGTTAGTCACGAGCGGGCCGGCACGGAGTTCGCGGATATACCCAGCCGCCGGCATTTGCATAGAGTATTACACACACCGAATTTAAGTTCACTTAACCACAATTTCCGTTACCGGGTCCCCGTAATTCGCGGCGTTAATAACGCGCGGATCCCACGGTTCGTTGCTGATTTCTCACGGCGATCGAAAATTCACCCCCGTTTCGAGAATGTTCCCGCGGCGAACAGTCGAGAATCTAGTGTTTGATCGTCGGAAAAGTTCGATCAGACTTCTGAATCGAGTCAGTGAACAGCGGAAAAATTTACGTCGAAAGTGTCGTCGTTCTGGATTACACAGTAACTCCAGACTGATCGAAAATTCCCAGTTTTGTGGCAGTTTCATCCGCCAAAAGTGCAATCTACTGTTTGATCGTCATGAAAATAGAATCACAGACCTCTGAGTCGTGTCGCTGGACAGTGGAAAAATTTATGCCGAAAGTATCGTCGTTCTAGACTACACAGAAACTCCACGCTGCACTCGCATTTCAACCCCTCTTCCCAGGGTTGAACCGTGGATTCTACAAACGCGACAGAAGGTCCGACAGTATATCGGGTGAGGGCGGAGAATTAAAAATTCTGCGTAGAATTTTTAATTAAACCGTGTCTCTTTTCGACGTATAAATTTAATTAAAACGAATCCTCTAGCCTAAAAGCATACGGAAAAAAGGGAGGGGGATGGGGCCTTGTACATTTTTAACACATATTGACTCGCGCTCAGACCATGTTTGCTTCTTGATGTGGCTCGAAACACCCACGCTTGGAAGGTGCTTGCAAGATTCATAAGACAGTAGACGCCACCTCCTCGCGTGTCCCACCTCCCCATTTGCGCGCGAATAAACGAAATTTAAGCGGTGAACCACGGGCGGAATGTTTAAGCGGCCGATTTTCGAATGTGTGTTGCAGCCGCCCTGGCGAAAATCCAAGGTCCGGAGGACGTCTACGTGAAGAAAGGCAGCACGATAAGCCTCACGTGCACCGTTAATGTGCAAAGTACACCGCCCAGCAGCGTTTCGTGGCATCACGGCGGAGCCGTGGTGGATTTCGACAGTCCCAGGTACAAGCCACGAGGAATCAAGTTTCCCGAGTTTGCCCACCCCTTCTACTCCTCCTTCTAACGTCCCACTATTCCAGAGACAGGCGGACTCCGCCCCCGCTTCCGTTCGATCGCCCGCGTTACGATTATCGCCGCACACCCCATAGAGAATGCACACCGAGTCTGCGTCGCGAAATTCCTGATAGTTCGCGCGATAGATTTTTGCTGATCGGTTAATCGTGTTTAGAAACCACCTAAATATCAGATTTCCTTGATCTCTCGCTGAAGACGAAACTCTAGTCCTCGTTAAGGTTAGTTCCTGAGCCGAAGCATTTTTTAAATCCTTCAGTATTAGTCCTCTTCTAAATACAGTAAATCATCGATGAATGTTCAGTCGTCCCCACCACTGGAGGTTCCGTTATGATAGAGGGATCAGTTATCGTAGAGGGACACTGTTTTCGTAGTTCATAAATTTCAGGCCTAGTAGGAGCATTTATCGTGAATTTACTGTACCAGACACTTAGAAACTCCACGTTCGGAATTATTTACTAAACCAGGGCGTAAACGAAAGTTAAAAAGAGGGTGTATGATCTCGATTAACGGGGGCGCAGTGAGCCTTAGAAATTGTTAACAGAGTAATGTAACCCGATGTGAATAGCAGCAAAGTATCTTTGATAATTCAGCGTTCACCGCAGGGGCGGGGTTTCCTTGGAGACCGAGAAGACGGAAAGCGGCACGACGAGCAGACTCCTGGTGACACAAGCCAGATTGACCGACAGCGGAAATTACACCTGCATTCCGAGCAACGCGAATCCAGCGAGCGTAATGGTCCACGTGCTGAATGGTAAGAGAGATCCTTTTCATTCCACTTCGAGTTCTAATTCGGTCTCACGCGGCTCATCCTTCCACACCAACGCCCCTTCCTTCATCCCTGCACGTTTTTTTTTTTTTTTAACCCCTCGACGGGGTTAACTTAATTTCTTCGGGGCTTGGCGACGATCAGTCTTGCGCCCAGACGGTAGCTGCGCCGTGACACACAAGTTTCTTAATATTGATCCGCACTCTTCTTGTAACACCGCTTATCCTGTCTGCTCGAAGCTCGTCACGATCGTCCTCTTCTCTTCGCAAAAGACGCTTCCGGGACGTGGGATTCCGTCGAGGTGCTTTAATTTCGTGAAATACAGGATGATGTTGATAAAAGTGTGGGACACTTTGACAGGGTGGATTCTACATGCCAGAGTAAGACCAAGTTGCGTTTAGAGGCTTCGTTTTCGAGTTATTCGTTGAAAAATATGGGACCAGAGTTTATGATCGATTGAACAGTAACTCATTATTATGTTAAGACGTAATACAAGTTACGAGATTAGTGCATATAGAAATTATTTACAATCAGTGTTAGTACATTACTTTTATCGAATGTTTGTAAAATTATATATTTTGCATTCTTTGATTCTTATATCTGGTCCCATACTTTTGGCTGATAGTATAACTGTTTCACGTTCTCCGAAACGAAGCCTCGAACGCAATTTCATCATTCTTGATTTTTGTCTTACAATGTAGAATCCACTCTCTGAGAGTGTCCCCCCATTTCTACCAACACCCTGCATAACATTTTTGGTAGATCGTGATAATTGGACCGTGGATATTATCTGTCCATATGGAATACTCATTCGTTCGAGTAGAACAGAAATTTGTGTCCCCTTTGATATATTAAAATTGTAATTGGCGAATAACGTGTTCTCTGCGACTGCAATGCTCGTAAATGAACAGCCGCAGTCCCGTTACAACATTCATCACATTATTTTCATGCACTAAAATTTCCGTTCCAGTTCACACAGATAACATCGCGATACGATTCTCTGATCCGTGGGGGTCGTTCCGCGGTGAAATCGAATTACCCCGAAAATTTGTTAATAACAGAGGGGTCTATGGGATTAACCTAGCAGTCGATCATAACTTTGAATTATTCCAATCATCCGCGTACACGAGATTGATTAACGCGAAACAGATGAAACGACAGACAGTGTATTCGAATATTTTGTCCGATAATGCAATTAATTTGAAAGGGTCCATTCGATGTAACCGGTGGATCGTGAGCTTCCGGGGTCGTTTTAAACCCCCACCGAATTATCCGCTATCAAATGCAAAGTCTCGTCATTCATCGAGTCGTGTGAGTAGAGTACCAAATCGAAGGAAATTTTATCCCCGTAGATTTATTTTTACTCTATCCGCTCGAGATTTACGCGGCGCTTCTCGATACGGCGACGCTTTATGCTTCGATTTTTCGACGGGCTTCCTTTTTTGCCCCGATATACGAGAATCGTTCGAACGTTCCAGGGGGCCACGTGACGCGCACACGCCCTTTCCATAAACGTCGCGAGCAAATGCATTTAAAAGGAGGAATCGCGTACCCGGAAAAATCAGCAAGCAAATCGCGAACACTTTGGCGCGGCGTCGCGTGTAATCTCGTATGTCGATCCAACGCACACGTTTAGCGATCTATAAGCTTCTGGGGATCTCCTCGCTATCAATAAAAAAGTAATTGAACTGTTTTCCTTAAAAATTCTCGTACAGTTCTGAATCCCTTTTCAACAAAATCAAAAAACTATTCGATTATGTATTTTCTGGCCACGTGCTGAACGGAACGGTGTGTCAGTAAACGGTCTAGGGAATTGGGACGTTTAAAAGCCTACTTCAGGACTTGTAATCGATTTTCCAACAAGGCCGTGATCCTCATAAGTCCAACGTCGCGATTCCATCGTGAATTTAAATTCCATATCTTCCCGAAATTCTCGTGACTTGGAACTTCAAGGCACTCTTTAGCATCCGATTATTCGATAAACTCGATAGCATCTTAAGGGATGATTTAGAAGAATCTTCAAAGACCGACGAAACAAATAGTACAGTCGTATTTTAACGAAACATGTACGAAATCGAAGAAGGTATTACTTTCTTGGACGTTCATCATTCCGTCTATACTTTCCAAATCTTATTTCGCTCCCCAGAGTATACGAACATTTATTTGATTAATATGTCAGGGGTGATAAGATGGTCGACCTCGACATCGATTTTATCTCTATCGAAAATCAAGGGTCGCGACCATCAGCCGCCCTCCCAGTTGGACGACTGGGATGTATCGTCGTCCCCTTTGCATTGGAATTGTTCGACAAATTCTCCACGACGACAATGCCTGTCCCCGTGTCGTGGGATGTAACTTCAATGCCGTGGTACTCGCGAAGTGTAACAAGGAAAAGGGAGGGAGGGGGTGGGTCTGGCCTGTTCATTCATCAAGTATCGAAATCCCTCGTCATAAAGTTTGACAGGGTCTCGTGTATTGAGGGCCGAGCTGGTAAGTACTCGGCCCCTCACGCACACAATTCGCGCTGATCCATTGTCAGCCAGCCCCCGGCAAAACTCGCGATAACGCGCGTGCAATAACTTGCTCGGGAAAGTTCGCCAATCCAGCCTGTCAGTCATCCCTGCTCACGCGCACGCAACTCCGCGGAGAGAATCTCGGTTGAAGCACGTCAGTCGCGAGAATCGACGACTTATTTTACTTACGGACCAGCGAGTTTCATCGTCTGTGATTTTACCCTTGGAATTTTCGGATGTTAACTTCCAGCAAATGTAAGTACACTGGTCTTTTAAAGTATTGTATATATGCATAGCAAATGCATTGAATTTCATTAATTCTCACTTGAGGAGTTAGCCCACTTTGGAGCCTAAAGAGGAAAGCTATTTTTGGGCATGTTTTTTTTTTAAATGGTCAGATAAATGGAAAATCTATTAAAATGTATTTATTTTACGTATCTTCAGGTAGGCGAAACACCTTACCTTATTTTTTAGAAGTGGCTGTGAAATTGACTAAAGTATACTTACAGATTTTGCGATACATTAAACACTTTCTTTGCTACGAACATTTCAAAACTTTAAAACCGAGACTTTTTTCGTCAAATATTCACCATTTGTACAAAAAATCATATATCTGAAAGATCCCCAAGTATTTCATTGGTAAATTTCATGTAGAACACAAAAAATACCAGAGAGTATCTTTTACTTTTGTGCTCCAAAGAGGGTTAACCCCTTAACAGCTCTTATTATGTGTCTCTATTTATCACCACCTTATCTGAATCTCGGATTAGGCATACATATATTATTCTTAACAAACAAATTCAACGGATTCCGTTAAACTCCTAATACCTGCGATACTTTCGAACACCAGTGTATAATATCAAAATATCTCTAAACTCAAAACGTTATCACGTCGGAAGTAGTGCTGTTTGATGAATCCTCCGGTTAATTCCATCTTTCGCCTGGAAAATTTCGCGCCGTGGGCACAATGACCAATCCCCCGGGCAGGATTCTCGTGTCGCTAAACGGGTCGAATTGTTCCGCTTTCATCGCTCGAATCAGGCATTCATCGGCGCCACGTAGGGGTTCAGGGTTCAAAACGCGACTGTAGGGGGGGGGTGCTTTCATCGCTCGAATCAGGCATTCATCGGCGCCACGTAGGGGTTCAGGGTTCAAAACGCGACGGCAGGGGGGGGGGGCCAACAATGAACTGCTAATCAACCCAGCATGAATTATGGCGCGTAGATTAGTAGCGCGGGATTCCATTAACGGACTTCAATCGAGCATACTTTCGGGGGCAGCTGCATCATCGATACGGCTTCGACGGGTTGGTTTACAGGGAAGCGGCATCGATCACACGGGTTTATAAGCCGCTCGATTTCGCCGCGACGATTCCCGGATAGGCAAAACGGTTCGCTCGTTCTCGATGAAAATTAATGCAGAGCGCGGTTCGTCTGCATAATTAATTTACAATCGACGACGTACTGCTCACGAGCCCATCGACGTTATTTCAAACACGGCTGATTACTCTGCAAAATTGACCGCAAATTTCAATTATTTCGCGATCAGCCGGCCAAACCCAGCCCGGGGAGATTATCCACGCGCGCATTAACGCAATTACGTGGGCTCGAGGTGGTCGGGAATATCGCCAACGACGAACGACGTCGTTTTTCGGGACGGAACTACCTCGTACAAATCGGGGGTTCGATGTCCGCCTAGGATCGGTCCGAACGAGATTTTACCCATTTGCTCGTAAATCCTCTCGGTTGTACCCTGCCGGGTACAACGCGTGTGCCACACAGGAAAGGGAGACACGCGCCTAACCGCGGTCACAACGGGGCTGGCGTGATTATCTTTATTACCGCGCGGACGCACGTTGCGTGCAGAGCACTCCCCTCCCACGTCCATCCGGTCCCGATACATCGTTAACATTTGTCTGGATATGCTAAATATATATGTATGCGCTCCTAACCGTAGGGATAGTTTCTGATTAACGCCCGGTTTGCTCTGGCCGACTGCGTTTCCCGCTTCTCTGCAGCTGGTTCACGGACCCACCCTCCGGTTGTCGCCGTTATTAATGGTTATTTGTAATGGAAGACGACGTCCCGTGAATTAGAAGTTTGTTCTAGGAGGTAGGGCCCCGTCGTGCTACCTGAAAGATTTATCGTGACTTTCATTGTGCGGTTACTTGGAGAATTTCGGTGTCGGTTCGCATCGTTGACCTGTTCTATTTGGTCGCCATCAAGATTCTATCGTGAACGATGTAAACCAAAAATGTGCAATTCACCGTCGTTCTGATTATTAGTTACGCAATTATTGCGCAGTTCTTGACCTGGTCCCGCTGAAAATTCTGTTATACACGAAGCAAACAAGAGCTACAATGCACCGACACTCTAATTGTACAATTACTTACATAATTTACGTGTCTGTGCAATTATCGACCTATTCTACTTGCTCCCGTTGAAAATTCTGTTATACACGAAGCAAACTAGAACTACAACTAGAGTTACTTACAGAATTTGCGTTTCTGTACAATTATTGACCTAATCTACTTGATCCCCTTGAAAATTCTGTTATCCCTAAAACAAACAAGAACTGTAATGTACCGTCAATCTAAATTTACAGTTACTTTCAGAATCTCCATGTCTGTACAGTTGTTGACCTATTCTACTTGCTCTCAAAGAGATTCTATCCTTCAGAATTTCCATTACAAATGGAATTCATTGTACTGTCAGGGTATGACGAAGTTTCTTCGTCGATCCCATAAATCTGATGTCTGCTCTAACACTGACTTTGCTACTGCAATTCTAAAGAGGGTTCGTATGTCGGTTGAATGACTGGTTTATTCTACTCGATGGTAGAATCCAACGAAGAACTAGTGTAAATCAGGGGAAAACTCCGAGAATACGAACGAAATTTCTTCTCTGTTCCAGGCGAGCACCCAGCTGCCATGCAACACGGTGGAAGTTGCGGCGTGACGCCAACCATACTCCTGGCGACCGTCACGCTCTTAATCGCGAACCTGCTAAGGTGAGCAGTCTCGTAGTGAACCGTGACGACTTCGTAAAAAATAGAAACGAGTGAGACGGTTGTGCGATCACAAAGGGAATCGCGTGTTCCCTTTGGTCCACGGCATCGGGACTAACGGTGGGAGGAGTGAAGAAAAAAAAATAAATAAATAAATACCAGCCGCCTTTCTCGGCTCGGATAAAATCTAATCCTAAATTCGTGTTCGCTTGCGTGGTGATTTAGGCGGCAATTTGAACAGTAAAGACGGATCGTATGTGGGGACAAAGTGCAGTGAATCTATATGGAAGACCCGAAGTGGGACACGATATTCGTACGTTTCCATCGTGATTTCGGTACATTGCTCACGAGCATTCTCGATTTTCTCCGCTGGAATTGCTTCGTAACTAGTGACGCGATCGTGAGTGATTCGTCGATAACTACTGCGATCCACGAATTAGGACTTCGAGCTAGCCTCGTCGATCTTTGATTCCACATGGGAGGACTGTCTCGATCCAACGGTTCAGAGTGCTAGAACGATGTTTAGGATCGTAATGGTGTCGCGTAGGTAACCTAAGTCTCTCTCTGTACATAAAAAAGAACGTCTCGACGATCGGAGTTCGTCGACCCCGTTTGTATGTACAGTACAACACGTCCGAGAATCACGAGGCCGTCGTCGGATCTGGGCAACGTTTGTACATAGAAGCTGCGGCGTTGGTGGCTGGTTTTCCAGTCGATTTTTAACGAGCTCTGGGGGGATACTGCTCGCGTGGCCAAAGGAATTTCGATCCGTTCGTGGGTTGCCCAGGTCCGAGTGTGCTCTAGTTAAGGGCTGTAACGTCACGGGTTAGCGAGTGACTCCCTCGAGACGCTAAATACGTGCTACGGGAGGATTTCACCCCGAAAGTATTCGCGAAGGTTTTGCCGAAATTGTTTCACGAACGATAATAGTCCCGGTAAACTCGTCCTCGATATGTTTCTGTTTACTTTGAGGAGCGAAAAATCAACGGAATGACGAGAGTGATCCTGACATGTCTTTTTCTCGTCGTCTTTTCTTCTCGCAGTTCGCGAGCTCGTGGTCACCGATCTTGTGTCGTTTTAAACGTCTAATCAAAATGCAATCATGCTGCGATATACCTACCCGAGGGATCGCGAGTTCTACGAACTTGAACGACTCAAGCTGGGTTAATAGGCCCGTGTCTAGGTAAGGATAATGTAAATGTATATTTAAGAAGCGGTAAATAGGTATTCGTATACTTATTAACGGAGTGTGATTCGAAGGGGAACGATTGTGTGTGTAAATTCTTCGGTGTCGAAAGTGTGGAGTTGCCCGACAAGTGCGCTTACAAAGGGCGACGCGTGTGGATTCCGTGAGCGTTGATGGAAAAAGGCCTCGGGACTTACGGAGTGAGTAGAAAATTCTTAATCGTTATTTATCAGCGAAGCATAAACTCAATTCTCAAAAGATCACGGTGGATGATTAAAGATGTATTATAAATAATTTTTTTCATAGAAGAATCTTAAGTACTCACCTTCGTTCAATATTCACTATCGAACTTTTTATTCGATTCGGTGAGTTCTGTCCTCCAGTCTCGAACCCTTTTTCTGCAGTTTGCAAAAGACAATTTTCCTCTTTAATTTTACAATGTACTCTTGCATCGAAGTCTTTCTAAAAAAAAAAACGAATGAATTCGTCGATCAGTCGATACTCCGAAAAAAAAAAAAAAAATGAAGAATCGAAAACATACAGCAGTCATGGAAACGGTGCTAAGAAACGAATAATCACGTTCATTTCGTCCGATTCTTGTCGAGTTCATCCTAGATCTTGATCGCGTGGCAACGGTGCGCGCGACACAGTAGCAGACATAATTATGTAGATTTACTACGATGTAACGTTTCACGAGGATAAAAACCGATATCATAACGGCTAGCGTGGTTAAGGTGCGACTCTTACCCTTAGATCTAAAACGATATAGATTTTTTATAATGCTGCGAACACGACGGTGAGAGAAAGAGTAGCGCAAGGGTGATCTAAAAACGTTTGTAAAACCGATCTACGCCGGTGATTGGGGGGTGAGAAACGCGTTTACAGGTGCGACTATGGGAGAGTGTTTTGTGGATCTCGAGCACGGTACCAGATGGTATTTCCCGCGATATAATATTATTCACTTCTTGTATAGTTTATATACGGTAATTTATGTCGTTGTGAGAGGACAATATTTTGAGGTTGACGCGTGACGTGAGAGGATCTGGCGAGACTACGACTCCCTGGACAGGCGTGCTGAGAGAAATTGTCCATGGATCGATTCGCGCCACACGCGTGCTCGTTCGATCGATAACAGGCCAGTTTTTGTTTGAATGTTGATGATCGTGTGATATTCGGAGAAAAAGAGAGTTTAACATGTTCAGGGGGTGGACGGACACGTTAATGGATTTAATATTGTTGGACGGGGACGAAAAATCGAAAAACGAAGGGTGTAAAAAACGTGTTATCGGTGAGATTTCATTCGACTTTTATCGGAAAGTTTTTTCTCTCGGGCCCTCGAGTCTCGTTCCTTTGGAATGGCGCTGACGTACGATTCGGGTCTGGGTATCGATGTCAGAACGACGAGACTCGTGTCGTAACGTCGACATTACCCTCGCGATATCGACGGTGTTCGAGGGGAGCCACGATAAATCGGGCCGTCGCGCCGCGCCGTGCGCGCCGGTCAAACAGAAAGATATCGAGAAAATGTTACGTGTGTGTGTACAGGTCGTGCGCGCGCGTCAGAAGGTAATCGATATCCGCACGGCGATCACGGAATGTCGGACACGGCCGGATAGATAAGCCTAGATCGCGCATTTGTACATAAAATTCATAATCGATAAAAGAAAAAAAAAAAAACTGTATCATGTTATAGTGGGAATGTCAGCATGAATCAAAGTGAATAAGGTGAGACACACACGTACACACATACACGCGCGCGCGCGCGCGCGCGCGAGAAACGAAAACAACAAGAAACACACGAAAGCTGCGGTAACCGAGTACGGAATATAATACTGTAAAAACTAAAAAAAAAAAAAGAAAAAAAAAATATAAAGATATTCATCGACGTGGATACTGTTTCAATAAATGTAATGATGATATAAAAAAAAAAAAAAAAAAAAAAAAAAAAAAAAAAAAAAAAAAAAAAAAAAAAAAAAAAAAAAAAAAAAAAAAAAAAAAAAAAAAAAAAAAAAAAAAAAAAAAAAAAAAAAAAAAAAAAAAAACAATGACGAAAAACGGCTCTCTCGATTCGTTCCTCCTGTAATCAACATTCTTTTTATTTCCGTCGATGAAATTCTTTCCGTTTGCTATGACCGGCCATTCTTATCCGGGTGCTTGAACGGTACGAACGAAGCGTTACGCAAATTAGTCGAGCGTTTGCTCGACCGTTTTCGACGCAATTTTTCGCCCTGCGGGGCTGACGATGGAAACGAGTTTGTTGTTTGCACGACCGTGTTCGAAAACACTCGCGCAGAGACTGGGCGAGTCAACAGATTAAAAAACCGAGAAAAAACGAGGTGGTGAAGCAGGGCGTAGGATGGAACTGGAGGAAGGATGTGATCGATCGGGATGGCCTAAAAATTCTGGGAAGTACACGTACATCGAAAATTCGAATACGGATGATCTATCATCGTCTAACCGGCGGGAACGACGACGACCACCGCAAGAAGCGTCACTTAATCTCGCAAATGTCAAATTCTCCCCGGAACATTTTCAGATTCAATCTCTCGAGCCGGCGATCCACGGGAGAAAAAACCGAAACACCCGGGATAATACGCTTACGACAAAGCGCCATTACGTCATATTTCCCCAGACGGCCTGGAGTAATCAATTTCGTCCGTCGCCGAAAAACAATCGACCTGGCCTCCTCCCTCAAAGTGTCTCTCGACATCATCCACGCCCGTGAGCACATCGACATCCGAGGCGCTTTCAACCTTTCTCTCTCTCTCCAGGATTCGATACAATCATTCGCCACGGTCCTGTCTAACTCATCGAGTCGACAGACAGAAAAAAGGAGGAGTATCCTGGAGACGAAGCGTTTTTTCGTGCCTCGATTCTTCTTTCCCCAAAAGTCACCTACCCCCTGTTCGTGTCCCTCGACGTTCTACTCACCCCTTTCCTTTGAGATTTCGTCCCGCAGCCTCGTTCCAGAAGCTTTCCCTTGTCTTCCGTCGTCTCTGTTTTTCGAAGATATTTCAAGCCTGGTGTAGGTTTCAGGGGAGCGGGGGGAGAGGATGAAGTTTGTCAGCCCCCGAGTATTTCATTAATCAGAGAAAGATTCGACGGTTGATTGATCCCTCCGCCATCTCGCCATCCAGATGCCATTTGAAATATTAGAGTTCGAAGTGGAGAACCTGCGAAGAATCGAAATGGCTCTCGATTGGTCGGGCACGATGTCGAAAGGGAGGAGAATCACATATTATTTGGAGAGGAGAGTCTCGGGCGTCGAGGCAGAAAGGTCATCGGTTAGGACGTAGAAATTGTTTTCTATTTTAGATCGAAGATATTTCCAATGAGGGGAAGGGGGTATTGGTTCGACCTCCGAATCTCATTAATCAAAACGATTTGATTCACCGAAACGGGAGATTGAATACTCTCTGCTCTCCCTGTACGTCGTCTGACTGCCATTTGAAATATCGAGCCAGGATGGGAGGACGCTGTTCGGAAGAGTCGAATGGAAAAATTGGTCACTGGTTATTGGAGATCAGGGAATTAAATCCTGAACCAAATACAGTAAATAATCGATGAGTGTCCGAAGGCTCCTCGGCGATGATCAAACGTCATCCCCACCACTAGGGAAGGGGTGTCCCCGTGGAACAAGTCAATGCTGAGGAGCCTTCGAACATTCTCCGATGATTTAAAATATAAATAAATTGTGCAGACTGTAAATGAATCAAAATAGACGGATCATAGACCAAAACTGATTGGTAGTTGCAGTTGGCCGCCATTACCCCAGTGCTCGGCCCGTCGACGAAGCTATCGGGTTACGATTTTGGAAAAAGCAGCCGGTCACATCCCTCGTCTTCCAAAATCGGCGAACAGCAGCAGCTGGACCGGCACGCTCATTAATTGTGACAGCAGCGTAGTGCCGTGTCGGTGGGGGGGGGATAGCTCGAAAGCTTACCCCGCCGTTCGTTTTCCCATTCGAGTGTGTG